CCAGTAGGCAAATTATTGGCACTATGTAGTCCTTAACAAAATATTTATTTCAATTTTACCAAATAACACATATTTTGGCAAAGCGAAGAAGGGGTATAATACTATTTCGGGTGATAACACAGAGATGGCCGAGAGTTATACACTGCTATCACATTTTTTTCATATCTAGGGACATATATCTTGCTAAAAATCACAATGAGCCTTACTCCATCTGTATGGTACCGACCAACCCCCTTGGCTCATAGCCTATATGCTTTGACTTAGATTATTTATACTCCAAATTATTCATTCAAATCATTTAGTGTAACTTCAACGCTACAGTGCGTCAATAAACTCAATATTCACAGAGAGTATAGATAAGACATGTGTCTATAGGTATAGAAATGTAACTCAAATCGTTCGCGAGATATTAGAGTAAGTACACTATACGGGCCATAGCTGCGCGTATATATTATCCTATGACAATACAGTGCGTATATTTTTGGTAATTAATTAAACTATTCATGCTTCAAAAAACTCAAAATTTACAGAGACCATAGCTCTAAGAGATGTGTTTATAGGTATGTAGAATTTTAGAAATGTAACTCAAATCCTTCGCAAGATATTAGAGTTAGTACACTATCCTACGGCCCATAGCCGCGCATATATATTAGCCTATGAGCGATACTGTGCGTATATTTTTGGTAATTAATTAAACTATTTGTGATTTAATAAACTCAAAAATCACGGGGATTATAGCTAAGACATACATGTGCGAGATATGAGAGTTAATACACTTTCATGCCGCCTATAGCGCAATAGCATATGCACGTGGGGGGGGGGTTAACAGCTGTATACAATGCACCAGTACAGGCGGGCACGGTTCGGACACTTAATCATCTGTAATTCCCTTCTAAGGAATATCTACATTGGGCACCCCCTCTAATATTTATAGTACTGCCATAGGCTACAACTGTGCCAAGTGTGATGCTTTTGTCAGCTCTGTAACGATCATGAAGCTAAGGGACCTGACCATAGAGTATCAGGAGAGTATAATATAAACTGTGTAAATATAATATATATTATACACTCGTGATAGTCGCACAGGGTTGCATGTCAGTGATGCATATACCAATGCAGGGTTTTTTTTTCATCTCGCCTTAAGGTGACATTACTAAGTGCAATTAGAAAGGTGACATTGATGCAATTTCTAAAAGATGAATTTTGCATTGTGATGTGATCTAGTAAAGGCTAACTCAGGTCGCCCTTACGACCTAGTCGCCGACAAAATTTGAAGATCGTACGTCAAAAACTGGCCAGATCGCCGATAAAAGCATCGGCGACTAAACTCGACATGAGTTCTCTTATGATCGAAAATACGGTTGCCGACTGCGATCGCAGGAATAGAAACGGTTCCATTTTCTATGTGGCGGTCGGCGACAAATCGTGAGTGGCAGCCAATCACCGCTACGTGTCGAGTCACATGATTAGCAAGTCACGTGATTAACAAAATGCCAGCCTACACAGCAGTTTACAAGAATGGATTATTGCACAAACTCTCCGTATATCAAGTTTTCCGTATATAACAGACAATTTTTTTAATTCTTTTTCTGCACATGATTATAACGATTTTCAGAAAATTGAGGATAGATTTACGAAGTTACCTGATCTTTACTGGTAAGCGCCATTTTGTTGGTCATGTGACTCGTTTTATGTAGACTGGTCCCGGAGTCAAGCTTGCTCTGTTTGTGTTAAAGGGACAGTAGCCTCTAGGATTTTACTGCATACAACTGTACTTACTGTATAACAAATCGTCTATACCCACATGTATTTGTCACCAGATACTTAATTAATTATTTACACATCAACGCTACGAAATTTGAACGGCGCCATGACACCCGCGACCGTGCTGCCACCCTGAAAAAGTTGCGTATTTGCATTTTTTTATTTTGCAGGCTAAATGACGAGGGCTAATCACAAAAGTGCAATTATATTTATACCTAAATGCTATTTAACCGAACGATGATTTCATTTTAGGGCAAATTTATACCAATATTATAACTGAAAACTATATGTCGTTTATAAAATATTACAAATCCTTTTGCTTTTAAATGAATAAACACCCTCGGTCTGTAGCCCTTGGCTGGAAAGTGGTTTTGCGCAACTTCTCAGATCGTGCGCTTTGAGTGGCGCCACCGTCGTTGTAATCAAACTGTAGTCGTTAGTTTTAAAACATTTTTTTTAAATATTTCTAATGGTGATTGAACCATGAAACTTTTTATGTAGCGCAATTATAACCTAAATTAGCTGAAAATAACCCTAGAACCTAGAGGTTACTGTTCCTTTAAAGAACTGCTTGTGCTAGTACAAATACTGGGGCCGCAAACCCGTCTACGTTTCCTGCAGAACGCTACGATGTAGTCGCTGGATATCTTCTGCTGCCAGGCGACTGTGCACTTATAGATGAGAGCTATGTGCGCCGAGAGATGCGTGAATAAACTTAGAAATATAATAAACAAGTGCCGCAGAACGACAGGGCTCATCTGGTGTCTGGGGTTCTGCTGATAAATTCATTTGTGCATAGCAAGACGTCCTATACATACGTTCCTTTCTAACCCCAAAAAACAACACTTAAAACTAGTGTAATAAAATTCTGATAGATGGCGGGCCGCTATCAAAGGCATCATTGCATCGGTCAGCAAAAGCATTGCAGCAATGGCAGCTGTCAGTGTGACGACGGATTGCAAAAATCAGGAGCGAATAATTACCATATTATTACTATACATAACGTGCGTTCTATGGTGTCAGGTAATAAGGTACATTAAACCCCTTGTGATGCACATCTGGCTCGTTAAAAATAGCTCAATGGTTGATACAACCAGAGGCAGAGCAGCTCGTGCAAGATTACAATTTACAGCAATACGATAGCAAATATCTCTAAACTAATTTCAGTACAAGGTAGGCCAGTGATTAGTGGACCGAATAAGCTCAAGAACGTACACACTTGCGTCTATATTGGTGCCAAAATTTGATGAGAAAATTAAGTCTGGGAAATCCGCAGCCTCACTCTTGGGTAATTATTTGAGTGCTAGTGACTGTATTCCAACTATGCATAATGTACACTACAGAATCTTATAAATATAAGTCATGTCATTATCTCCTAAGTAAGCGTTGTTCAAGTAAGAGTTATGTGTGGAATTTCACTGTAAAATGGAAGTTTTCCACACCCACAGGTACTCGCCAACGCAGTTGAGAAACAAATCCATGTTTAACCCTCCTCTTGAGAGTCAAAAGGTTATCCAACACTTACTCTTCGCATGTCAGCGGAAAGTACATTTCATGGTCCTTTCAATAAAGCCATAAAAATGCTAGGTCACCGCTGAAACAAAAAAGTTTTTCAATTACTGTTAGTTCCCGACCGCCGAGAGCGGTTAAGCCGCGCACTTCGCGGGACTGGCGCACGCGAGCGCGCGGGTGTTGTATGTAGCATCTCGCACTGCCCGCTATACAAATTCGCTAGGCGAGCGCGCGAATCCGTATAGCGGGAAGCGTAACATCCAAGTTTTCCGTCCTAACGTCCACAGCCACGCGCTTGACTACGGCGGCCTTGGCGAGGCATTCCTGCTGCTGCTGCTTTGCTGCTCCAGGCCGCGCTGCAGCAGGGACCAGTATTTGGTGCTGCTGCTGGTTTGCCACGCCAGCCACGCCGGCTTTTAATTTTTAATGTTATCTTATTGTATTTACTTTTAATATATCTTTCTAATACCTATTGTCTCGTGGGTCACATATACTTACAGAGTTGTCACTGCATACTCTTGCACACTTAATTCCTCCAGTTCTTCGTCATCATTGCTGTCATAACCTCCTTCCTCATGGATCGCATCAAGGTAGGCTCTGATAAAATGGATAAAATATAAAAATTCAATACAGTTTGGGGAAAAAAGGAATCACAAAGAATGAAACTGATCGAATATATCATTAATTATGTGTAGAATCAAATTATATAAAATACTTAGAAGCTACTTGCTTTACAGACGATAACACAACCTATCCAATGGAATACACACTTATATGTACTACCGGTACATACGGTAAATATTGTCGGAGTCTTGGCAATAGACAAACATGAATGTGTATTATAAGTGTGTATGCGCGTGTGTGTGTGTGTGTGTGTGTGCGAGCGTGCGTGCGTGGGTGCGTGCGTGTGTGTGTGTGAAGTTATGTATTATCATAAGTGAGATGGTAGGCCTACATGTATGAAAAAAACTACCAAAAATATTTCTGTAATCACACTCACTGATACGATGAACAGGCTGTACTAATTGTTCTCGACTGGCTGGTGCACAAGCTTGCAGTGCTTTCATCAGAT